GACTCCGTTTCGTTCTACTGCGAACGATTCAGGGCTCGCGTGCGTATCTATCCCACAGGACGCCGTCTCGTTCTACTGCGAACGATTCAGGGGCTCGGGTGCGTAATTATCCCACAGGACGCCGTTTCGTTCTACTGCGAACGATCCAGGCTCGCGTTTGTTTATCCCGGGACGTCTGGAACGACGTCGCCGACGGTTAGAAAGTCGAGTTAGACGCCGGTTAGAAACTCGCGTCGTTTTATTTGCTAGAACGTCATGTCAAAAACGCGCTTTGAATTCGCGTGATTAAATCGGACAGTGAGTTGCATATCGAGATTATACGGTCAAAACTCTAGAGGTGCTCGATTGTTGTTGTAAATTTTATTTTACGAGTCTTTAATTATAAATTTTCTTTCACTTTCATTACAATTTAAAGTCGTGAAACTTCCTGGGGTATTTAGCATATAGTTAATTAATTAAATAAAGCCTTAATGTTATGTTATAGTTAACTGTGTGTTTTATTTCTTTTCATTTCATCACTCCCTGGTATCTCCACTGTATAAAAGCTACCCGTATTGGCGAAACGTGGACCTCTTCCACTATAAATAACAGAGGTGGCGCCCGAGAGATTTAAGTTTACTACTACGCCAGTGTACTTACTGTACGCCAGTAAGGCTATTTATTTTTCACTGAACCAAAGAAAAATAAATTGAGACTCTTACACTAAATTGGTACGATCTCTCTGTCCTGCTTCTCCTTTATCAAACACATCTTGATACTTGATTATTAGGTTTCTCAATTTTCTACTATTTTCGGGAGATAATCCTTTAACGTTTACTAACTCCTTCACCATTTTGTCCGGAATTTTTGAAGTTGAAACTTGGAGGCTTCCACGCTTCGAATGACTGAGGAGCCGAACAACAGTACCCTAAAAGGGTTCCCTTCTTCAAGGATACAGAATAATAATTTGTGTTCATTACTCTCGCCGGTACAGTTTTCTTCGCTCGTAGCAGGGCTTTTCCAACAGCGATCCCCCGTCCTATTTCGCTGTCATGGTTCCTTGGCTCCAACAGAATAATACTCCCATTATTCATTTTATCTTCCAGGCAACCATCCAAAAATATCTCACAGCGCTCAGGGATCGAAACATCTTCTGCTACCACCACGCGAAGCGTCTCCTCACATTTTCGATGTAGAACCACTTCTTCTTCATTTATTTTCAAAATTCCCTGTTTGAAGTTTAGTTCAAAACCTCTAGTGGCCATGATGTCCATTCCGAGAATAAGTTCATCTTCGATATCTGCTACTACCACTGGATGTTCAAAACTGGTGCTCCCAATAACAAAATTAAGGTTTACTTCTCCATGGACAGCAGCAGAGCCCCCCGTAGCAGTACGTAGTCGCCATTGTGTTGTTTTAACCTTCTTCGATGTTTTAAGAATGTCCGGTCTGATAATAGTTTTCGTCGCTCCTGTATCCAACAGCATAGTCCGGAACTCTCCATCAACAAAACCATCCACAAACATGCTGTTGAATTTGTGTTGTAGCGAGGCGACTCGAGCAGTTTTCGTTGGGGCATGTTGGGTACAGGTCGACGTGTGCCCCTTCATTTCGACCCTTAGTAGTTTTCCGACCTCGACGAAGCCGGTTCTTCGTTCTTCTCCTTACAACGGCTTCGCACGTGTCCTACCTGTCCGCAGTTCCAGCAATGAATCAGTCCCTTCTTGCCCATGTACTGGTCCATTACCTTCCGAACAATCCCTTCCACGGATTCGTCGGAACATTCGTCGATGGCCTGTACTCTTCCTAAAGACCGAGAACTTTGTTTCGCGGCCTCGAATTCTAGGGCATGTGCTAAAGCATCCACCAAGTGCGTTGGGTGGGCTAGGAGAAGTGCTTGTCTTGTCTCGTTGTCACGTAAGCCGTCGGAGAATGCCTGTACTACCAATCGCTCCATAACATTCTCGGGCGTAGCAGGGTACGCAAGGCGAACGAGGCGGGCTACGTCGGCTTCAAACTCCTGCAGAGACTCATTTGCCTTTTGAATGCGATTTTTTAGCTGGGATTGATAGACATGTTCCAAATGAGCTTGGCCGTACCTCATTTCTAAATGTCGTACCAATTGCTGATAATCTCCCTGTTCCGATGGTGACAGTGTCTGTAGGATATCAGTCGCATCTCCTCGCAGTGCGATAGTCAAAGCGGTAGCTTTTTCAGCGATTGTCCAGCCGTTCGCTCTCGCAGCGGCTTCAAATTGGCAAAAATAATTGGCCCAAGCGGTTTTTCCGTCAAACTGTGGAGGTTTCATAACTGATTTTGAGGCATACCTATTTTCGACTAGTTTCGGTCCCTCCGATGTTTCTTGACATTTTGGTGAATTTGCCTTTGCTATTTGTTCTTTCAAAATTTCGATTTTTCTATTTACATCTTCCTCAATCTCCGTTATTTTGTCTTGTAGTTCCGTAGAATTCTCTATAATCTTATTGTTTAAACTTTCTTCTAAATTAAGTATTTTTTCATTGAAACTGGCTTGTAGATCTTTAGAATTTTCTATGATTTTATCCTCTAAAATATTAATTAAATCCTGGGAATTTTCCATAATTTTATCTTTCAAACTGTCTTCTAATTTTTGAGAATTCTCTGTGATTTTATCACTGATTTTATCTTCTAAATTAACTTCCAAGTCAATTATTTTACTATTTAAACTATTCAAATTGTCGTTCAAATTGTCAAGGTCACCTTCCAGCTCGAAGTAAAATGTGTCAGGATCCTCACCTTCCTCAATCAAGACGTCTCTCAGTCTGGCTTGCAAAATGCTTTTCTTTCCATCTGTTTCGCATTCCCTCTCTTCTAGTACGCATTTTAATTCCGACACTTTCAAGTCTTTTAATGTTTTTTTCGGAGCCATTGTCGGTCTTTTTATTTTCCTACTCTATCACACACGCCATACTTGACACCAATTGTTACGTTTTTCGTCGGTTCCGTGTGGATAGAAAGTCACAATTTATTTAAACACTATTTATTTAACACTAATTAACAAAAACAATAACGATAAAAGACTTATAGAACTATTTACAAACGATTTATAACTAAGAATTTATTTTGAATTTTAGCGCGTCAACTGTATATTTATAACTGCCCCCTGTAGGCCACAGCCGCCGGCTTTTATACCGACAGGTAAAGAACACTAGAATAGTCCATAGATCGTTAGGTGCGTAGAGAAGGTTTTCGAATGTTCTCGTATGTACTAGTCCATTCCAGTGGGACTCGATTCTTCTCGAACGAATGAATCATTACCGTGTCTATTCTTTAATGTGATGTTAAGGTCATCTGAGGGCGGGACATATAGTTAGGTTAGGTCGAGTTCACACGGGTCCGCAACAATACGTTTATGGACGCCTAAAAACAAGTTTAATTACGCCCAGTTAAGCGTTTATTAATCGATAGCCTTTAACACATCGATTGTTTTGAAACCCTCTCTATTTTGGGTGAAAATTCCTTTGATAGTTTTTCGATAAAATTATTTTCAGGTATGGGTGTTGTTAAAAAATTAGCCTAGTATTTTTGTTTTTCGGTGATCCTGTATCTTTTTGCATGTAACAGTTATGGGGTTGGGGTTGGTGTTTTACATACATTGTACAATACTTTTCACCGCAGGTATTTTGTCTATCAGTTATAGATAGGCATTTTGGGCAATACTATCGGATACAGAACCTTTACCTTGTGAGCCCGGCTTATCGTGATTCTCATAAAATGTTCATTTCAAAAATAATTTCTAAATAAACGAAGACAATCTGGACATTTAATGGTTTGATTCACACAATAGAAACTGCAACAAAAGGTGGCTGCCAAATTTAGTTTTGACCTTTTAACTGTCAATATATTCCATATATTCCCAGCTTTCGAAGAAAGCCTCTCCGAAGGCACTGACGTAGCTGGTATACTTCTTTTTACCATTTTTTTTAAAAGGATTTATTATCATATTCATCACTGTTAATACTGCTAGGATTTAGCCAGTAATTAAATGGATTTAAATAGCCTCTACGTTTGACCCATATATAGACAAGGGTTTGACGTATCCAAAACGTTTGTTCTGCTGACGCCATCTATGGTCAGATTCAGAATTTATTATAACAAGCAAGAATTCCAAAAATCCAAATACCAAAAATTCTCATTAAGAGGATATAAGTATTTTTGTTTATTTCTACGATACTGATTTGTTTAAAAATATGCTTCGAAAAAACTATCGTTAGTTCGATAAACCTATCGATAGTTCGATAGTTATAATTTGACAACAAACTATCGATATATCGATAGATTTATTCGATAGTTTCCCACCACTATCGCAAGCTTTGTTCAGTCGAGTCAATGTTAAACACGCCGCTCCCACTTTTGCCTCGAATTCTAATGGATTGGAGATAAATGGAATTTTTAGTAGGGATATGGAAGCAAATAATGCCTGGAGATAAAACTCATTTGGATGGTTGAAGTAACAAATCACTGAACCCATTATACCGCAGAGAGTCCAGAAAACCAAGAAATATTAACAAGTAAATTTTATTTGGCTCGAATGAAAACCCACATCACAGCAATGAAGAAAAAAAAAAGAATACTTATCTAATATTTCGCTGATTTCAGCAATTTCAAAAGGCCGTCGCCCGTTTGACATCGAAACCAAGCGCGCGGACAAAATATAAACAAGGATGGAAGATATGCGAGGCGGTAATTAGGAAGTATGCGATGGATAAGAAGGCAACCAGACAAACAAAGGCAAAGGTAGTGTTGGCGTGTGCATTGCTTAAATGATATCAGCTAGGGTTGAAGTCTATGGTTGAAATGGACGCAATAGGACGCAAGGCACCAGGATGACAGGAGCAGTGGCGGATACAGAAGGTGTTGTAGAGCCCTAATTATTTAATAAAAAAATAGTAGTTTTGATAGAGTGCGTAGGGATAGGAGAGAACGCGTTGTCATTGCGTTGCCGCTAACACGGTAGAAAAGATGATAGCTGTCATGAAAAAAAAATATAATTACAAATTTATTTTCTATGAGATTTCTTTAAAAAGTAAGGAGTAGAAAACCATCGTCCGCAGACCACAAATGTTAATATGGCGCCCATACGTGCGGCTTGTCACTGGTAGTTTATTTGAAAAAAAAAACATCATCATGGAAGAGAGAAGTAGATTAGATCAAAATGATATGTGGAAAGTGAGTAGCGAGACTCCAGTCCAGAGCAGTCCAGAACAAGGTGGGCCTTCTTTTTTGAATAATACTAGTGATAGGTGGGAAGAATTTCACCCAAACCCAAACTTAAATACGAATCCATTTTCTCCAACTTATACGGAAAATTTAGAGCAAAATTCAACCAGCATTGACCAGAAAATGCAGAGTATGGCGAAGACTTTCTTAAAAGCGTTTCAGAGTGTTGCTGGCAGTTGTTTTCAGAAGTCTACGCCGAAATTAAGTATCACATATTCAGGTTTTGAACATGAGGATCCGCTGAGATTTTTGGAAAGGTTGAGTCACTATTTTAAAGAAAACAGTGTACCACAGGACGAACAGGTAGATATAGCTTTGGATAGACTGAGAGACGAGGCTTTGAAGTGGGTATCGCCTTATCGTTTCATAAATGTTAATTTCATTCAATTTTCTGATCTTTTACTAAATTAATTTAATTCTACTCAAGTTGTAGCTGAAATAAGTGCTAAATTATATGGCCAGATTCAAAATAAGGAAGCCGTAGATGTATTTATCACAAGGAAATGGGCATTATTTCAACGAATAGCGCCAAATACCCCAGATCAGGCCAAGGCAGGGACTATTTTAAGCCAACTACATCCGGAAATAAGAGCAGCCTTGAGATCTCCTGTTTCATTTTCCAATCCTGAAGAACTTATCAGAGTAGCGTATCAAGTGGAGAGAGGCCTGAGAGAAGTTAAAACGAAGCCTATGTTAAAATTTCCGGTAAGTGCAACAGCAAACTTGCATTCTCAAAATAGAAACGAACCACCATCACCTTGTAGATATTGTGGTGAACTTCACTTCCATCGTAACTGTCCACGAAATCCTTACAATCAGGGAAACTTACAGAGGGCTCCGCAGAACGGGACCTCTTAGCGGAATTAAGCCCATTAAATTTATACCCTCATGCCGTGAACCTTGCGTCAGTTTCAAATAATAATTTTAATGTTAACCATTCTAATTCTTTAAATTCAACTTGCTTTGCTACACACCCAGAAAATAAATTGCCTAAATTAATTATTACTTACCTTGGAAAGACATTTCAAGCACTTATTGACACTGGATCTGCTGTAAATTTAATTCGAAGTTCAGTTTTACCTTCAAATTTGTTACAAAGTTGTGTTCCATCTAATATAAATCTGTTTTCTGCCTGTTGATCTAGTTCAGTTACTTTTCATGGAAATCTGTATAGATTTTCGTGAACTTAACGCGATCACTGTTGATGAATCTTCTAACTTGCCACGTATTTCAGACGCTTTAAAGGATCTGGGTGATGCCTCAATTTTTTCTGTATTTGATTTAAAGAGTGGGTATTGGCAAGTGCCTCTAGAGTCGGAATCCAAGAAATATACTGCCTTTTGTACTCCTGACGGATCTTTACATCAGTTTAATGTAATGCCTTTTGGGCTTAAAAATGCTCCGACCACTTTCCAACGGATGATGGTACATGAAGTTCTTGCAGGGTACTTACATAAATTCGTAAAGGTATATCTTGATGACGTTATAGTCTATAGTAATGATTTTAATACCCACCTTACCCATTTACATTTAATACTAGAGCGTTTTCGATTGCATCATCTTCAACTTTCACCATCTAAGTGCCAAATTGCTTCTCATAGCATCAATTATCTTGGTCACCATATTTCTAAAAATGCTAACATGCCTCAGGATTAATCAAATCCAAGAGATGCTTCAAGAAGGAGTGATCGAACCCAGTATATCTGAATTTTCATCTCCAGTAGTTTTGGTTGATAAACAAGGTGCTAAACCAAGGTTTTGTATAGATTTTCGTGAACTTAACGCTATCACTGTTGATGAATCTTCTAATTTGCCACGTATTTCAGACGCTTTAAAGGATCTGGGTGATGCCTCAATTTTTTCTGTACTTGATTTAAAGAGTGGGTATTGGCAAGTGCCTCTAGAGTCGGAATCCAAGAAATATACTGCCTTTTGTACTCCTGACGGATCTTTATATCAGTTTAATGTAATGCCTTTTGGGCTTAAAAATGCTCCGACCACTTTCCAACGGATGATGACACATGAAGTTCTTGCAGGGTACTTACATACTTGATGACGTTATAGTCTATAGTAATGATTTTAATACCCACCTTACCCATTTACATTTAATACTAGAGCGTTTTCGATTGCATCATCTTCAACTTTCACCATCTAAGTGCCAAATTGCTTCTCATAGCATCAATTATCTTGGTCACCATATTTCTAAAAATGCTAACATGCCTCAGGATAGCACATCAATCTTATTCGAGACTATCCTGTTCCAAAAGATAAAAAACAACTTCAAGCATTTTTAGGTACATGTAACTGGTTACGTGAATATATTCCAGGCATGGCAGAAATAGCAATACCATTAACAAAATTCCTAAGGAAAAATATTCGTTTTAATTGGGCAGAAGAACAAAACAAAGCTTTTGAGCATATCAAGTTGTTAGTTTCGAAACCTCTCACCCTTCATAGACTTCATAGACCAAATTTTAATAATACATTTACTTTGCAAACTGACGCTAGTGAGCATGGTATGGGTTGTGTATTATATCAAGAAGGTCCTAATCAAGAAAAATATATTATTTCATATGCCAGCGCTACTTTCACTAAAACTGAATTGAAATACCATATCAATGAAAAAGAGTGTCTTTCGATAGTATGGGCGATTAAGAGGTATAGACACTACTTACAAGATAAACCTTTTACACTCAGAACTGATAATCGTTCTTTAATATGGCTACATAAAAATAGAGACGCCAAAACAAAACTTACTCGCTGGTCTTTATTATTACAAGAATTTTTCTTTGAAACTGAACATGTTCCTGGTAAATATAATGAACTTTCTGATTGGTTACCTCGAACAACTACTGAAATTCATGATTTAAGTTCTGACCTTGAAAGCAGATTATGCATACCAACTAGAAATATAGACTCCGAGCTAGTAATTAACCAAGTACAGACACAAAACGATCTATTTTTAAGTATTTGTCAATCTCAAAATGAGTCAACTGACATACGACGATTGAAAGAAACCCTGCTGGAACTCCAACGAAATGGAGCTGCATCTCGTCGAGACAGAAAGATTTTGACAATTTATACTATAGTTGATGATCTCCCTTGGAAAAAAATCTAAAGATAACTTAGGGAATTACCTAAGTAAATGTACTGTATGTAAATCAGTGAAACCCTCAAAAGAACCACATGCTTCACTTCGTCCTCATACACCATCATACCCTTGGGAAGTTATTAGTATTGATATACTAGGCCCATATCCTCCTTCGAAAGGTGGACATCAATACATTCTAGCAGTCGAAGATGTATTTACAAGATGGGTTGAGGCCAAGTCTTTTCGAAAAATTAACGCTACCACTATAATCGGGTATCTAGAAACTGAAATCTTTTCTCGATATGGTTTTCCTTTTAGAATTATATCTGATAATGGTCCGCAGTTTGTAAGCCAACAGTACTTGAGTATGGGTAGTCAATATCAAATTGAATTATTTCATACACCAATATATAATGCTCGAGCGAATCCTGTTGAACGCCGAAATCAAGAACTAAAGAAACTGTTACGAGTATTATTATTTGATCAACCTAAGCAAAATTGGAACAAATAACTTAACAAGGCCTTATCTATTTTAAGAACAAGAAATAACGCCGCTACGGGTATGTCCCCTTGTAAAGCATTATTTGGATACGAAACATTAGGCCCAGGTGATCATTTATTACCAGCTAAAATGAAGTTACCTAGAGGAGACCCATTGCAAAGCAGAGAAAATCATATCACAGCTATACGAGAAGCTCAGACTAACTTTCAAGCCAAGTATTCTCCACAAATTACTATTAAACAGAAGTTTAATATAGGTGACTATGTTATGGTACGAGATAATCGTCAAATGAAACATGCTTTTGATACTCCATGGTCTGGTCCATATGAAGTAATTCGATTTAAGGGAGCAGTCGTTTATAATATCTTGCGTGAAGGTAAAGATATTCTTGTTCATGTAGACGACATGAAGCCTATAAATATTAGCTCTGATCATGATGATTCGTTTTCTGACACTGACACTGACACAGATGATGAAGCTAGCTCTAACCGTAGCTCCCAAAGTATGACAAGTTCCTTGTCTATTTCTCGCCTAAACTCACTTACCATTGCTCCTGATGGTGCCAGAAGTCTCCACTCCGTTGAGTCTGACCTCGACAACGAAAATCGTTTACCTGAAAAATCTAACTGTGTTCAAGAAAACTTCACAGTTCTCTCAATGGAACCTGAAGAATTACCTCAACGTACTCGAATCTTTATCAACTCCAAATTACGAACTCCTTCAGCTCGGACAAGTTCAAGAATAAGACACCCAAGACTATGTCTTTGTGAAGAACATTAAAGAATAAACTATGTTTTGATATTGTTAGAGTCTTTATGCTAGTTTTCATTCCGTTTCATACCTCAATTTAATTTTTGATATTACTAGGTATTTGTTATATTTGTTTGTAAACATTTTTATTGTAATCCGTGTAGCAGCAACGCTTTTCGAGCGAGGGGGAGTGTTGTAGAGCCCTAATTATTTAATAAAAAAATGGTAGTTTTGATAGAGTGCGTATGGACAGGAGAGAACGCGTTGTCATGGCGTTGCCCCTAACACGGTATAAAAGATGATAGCTGTCATGTTGAAAAAATATATAATTACAAATTTATTTTCTATGAGATTTCTTTAACAACTAAGGAATAGAAAACCATCGTCCGAAGACCACAAACGTTAATATTGTAATTCTATATTTTTTCAACATGACAACTATCATCTTTTATACCGTGTTAGCGGCAACGCCATGACAACGCGTTCTCTCCTGTCCCTACGCACTCTATCAAAACTACTATTTTTTTATTAAATAATTAGGGCTCTACAACAGTAGCCCAGTACCCCTACTTTAATTTCCGTAACATCTAAATCATCGGATATCTCAGGTGGATGCCAGCGCTTATTGCCACTAACAGATATTTGTTCGTTATGGTGCGTTTAGACTTGAGCACGCACGAGCTGAGGGTGCGCGCACGGCATTCGTTCGCGCTCTCGGCTCCGTTCAAATTAAAAACTTATTTTCGAATGAACATTTGTGCGCGCACAGCAGAGTTGTGGTTTGGCGAAAATAATGGACGACCAAGAAATAGTCGAGGCTGCAATCATTGTTATGCACAGCTTAATTATTAAAAAGGAGAAAAATCAAGAAACCATCGTCGCTGGTGGCAAACCAAATTTTTAAAATCGATATAATTTACTGCAACAACGTAGTGTCTGAGGAGGGCTATGATAAGTTCAAAAACTTTACAAGAATGACCAGACCCGACTTTGAATATTTACAAAATTTAATAACACCAAAAATTACGAACAAAAGATACAAATTTTAGAATAGCAATTTCATTAATATCGACATATTCAATATCAATTTTATTTACAAGATCTTGCCATGCGTTTTTTTTTATTTTTTAATAATACAAAGAATGTTTAATATCCCATAATATAGGCAACTTTTCATATTCTTCAATTAATAATAACGAAGATTCATTGATCCACTACATAATTTTAATAAAGAAAACGAAAAAAAAATCACACACGCACGCACGAACGCAGACAAAACAAATTGCCGGTGCAAACTAAGCGTTAGCGCACACATAAGATCCCTTTGGGCACGGACCAAAAACCGACACCAGACGACTCACGTTCGCGGCTGCTCGCGCACAGGGGGATTCAGAGTGAGCGTGCGCGCACAGCCGTTTACACTTGAGCATTCGCGGAGGATCAGTGCGTGCGTGCTCAAGTCTAAACGCACCATTAGATGATACTAAATCTGTAACAGGTATCAGATATGTTGCCATGTCATCTATGCAGTTTGCTGAATGGGGATGATATTTAACATTTTTTATCAATAATGCTTTATAAAAAGCTGTAAATGCTGAACATATAGGATTATTGTTCCTTAAACCATATTGCCGTATTTGGCAAAATAAATTTTCTACTGGATCTTGATTAAATCTTCTTGGTGAAAAAGACTTATAACCAAGATCCAGTAACATTTTTCTTAATTGTATAAATCCATTTAGGGTTTGTACCCAGCCATCTAGCACTGGTGGCTTAGATTTA